GATGAAATAATAACTATTGAACAATCATGCCCCGAACTACCAAAAACATTAATATATACCGAAAAACTACAAAAGAGGAAATAATCATTGGAGGAGTACTAATAGTGATGAAATTTAAAATATATCAAAGAAATGAAAATATCATTTTAGGAATAAAATGGCTAGAACAAGTAAAACCATATAATCTAGAAGACAAACAGTTAACAATAAATTATGAAAATAAAAGAGTAAATATTAAAAACGAAACCTTAGTATGAAAATATACATACTTGCAAAGATAATAATAGAGGGATATTACAACAGATATTATACACCAATGATAGATACGGGAGTAGAAGCTAATATATGTAAATACAATTGTTTACCGGAAGATAAATGGGAAAAATTAAAAAACACCGATAGTAGTAACATGATTTAATAATGAAGGAAGCATGATCACATACAAGGCAAGAAATGTAAAAATACAAATATAGGATAAGATATTAATTATTGAAGAAATATACAATTTTGAATTAACCACAAAAGACATGCTATTAGGAATGCCATTTTTGGAAAAAATTTACCCACATATAATAACAAAAACACACTGGTGGTTCACAACACCGTGTAAACAAAAAATAGGAGCAAAAAGAGTAAATAATAAAAAACGAAAAACAACAGAATGGATAAAAGGCAGTGAAAAAATTACACAAAAACTAGAAAATAGAAAAGAAGAAGACCCTAAGATAGAATTAATTATATTCTCTATAGATAAAGTAAATATAATTCAAGATAAGTTAGAATTATTATATAGTGAAGATCCTTTACAAGGATTGGAAAAACATAAAACAGAAGTAAAATTGAGCTAATTGATAATAATAGTATAAATAACCCAAAAACCATTAAAATATAAATTTTTAATGATTTTAATAAAATTTAAGATACATATAACTGAATTACTAGAAAAAGGATACATACAAGAAAGCAATAGCAAGCATACAAACCCAGCATTTATAGTAATTAAACATAGTGAGCAAAAAAGAGGAAAAAGTAGAATGGTTATCGATTATAGAAACTTAAATGCAAAAACTAAAACATATAATTATCTGATACCAAATAAAATACTAAAGATAAGACGAATACAAGGATATAATTATTTTAGCAAATTC